AAAAAAAACGGGCATATTCAGCGCAATTGTCATACCAGAAGCACTAACGCTTCAAATAATATACGAATACTTTGGGATAGAACAAGAATATTTAGACAAACATTGTAAGTGAGGCAAGCTAATTCCTATATGTAAACGAACCAGACCGAACATACCAATTCTCACCGCGAACACTTGCGAAGCCGAAATAATTAATAACCTGTAATAAGCATTGTGAACGTGTACTTTTCAAAATTGAATCAATTACTTATATTCCGCTTACCAAATCCGAAAAGTATATAATACCGCGACAGGAATCCACACTTGACATAAATTGTAAAACACATCTTATAAAAACACTTCAGCACATTTGATAGAAGCCAACACCGACTGCATTATACAAACATAAAACTCAATAATGAGAATTATTCCAGGAAAATCAAATTTAACATGGGAAACGAAATTGATCAATGTGAATATAAACATGTCGGAAAAACAAATAACATTTTTACAACAACATTTGAAAGAAACACCAATTGCATTGAAAAACTTAAAAAAATACTCAAGAACGTTAGAAGAAATTTTCGATCTGTTAAACATCTCTTGAACGCCAACATAGAACTTGCAAGGCAATAGAGACGGGATTATCGATACTTAAAATAATAGGATACGTAGCTCTGCGATTAACAACGCTTTACGATTTATATAAAATAAGAAAGTGCACCTAAATATTAATCTCCTGATAGAATTGCTCAAATACACATAGTACCGTTGGCACTCATACGTCTGCCCCATCATGCCACACACCTGACAACGCCCAGATACGACCCGAGGAGTTCGAGATGCACAACATCATATATTAGCATCAACTCACCGGAATCCTAGGAGCAAATCGATCACATTGAGTTTGCCACAGAGAAGTAAAGTCTAAAAAGGGAGGATGTGACGATCACTTTTAAAAATTCCTTTCCTTACGTCACCACACAATTAGTCATCGGAAATGGCAGCCTGGTGTGTACGGCTCTGTAATTGTAATGGCATCAGTTACGACTGAGCAGTCAACGAGAGCTGTTAAATAAAATTTAAATCAAGTACAGTCTTATTATTTTGAGTTTAATCCGCGACATTTCACGTTTGAATAGTGACAATCCCACGATGCACAGAATAATATGAGACCACCAGAGGGAGACAATCTATTGATAGAGTAAATGTAGAATATTTTAAATGATAACATGTAAGCCTCGATCCGTAATGCAGGATATATTTCGGGACAATAAGTAATATTAAATCGCTGTTTTGTAACAAAAAATTTGATCATTTTGTTACCCGCGATGTGTAGAATAATATAAGATCATGAGATAAGAGATATCAAGGAGATAATCCATTGATAGAGTGAATATAGGTTATTTTGAATGATCAAATGTAAGCTCCGATCCGTTGGAGCGTATAATTACAGGGACTATAATGATCGTCTTTATACTTTAAAAAATTGTGTTCATTGTGATCCCCGCCATGCGTAAAATAATGTAAGAATCTCAGAGCGATAAAATATACTGATGGATTGAATATAGAAATTTTGTAGTATCATGTGTAAACGTGAATCCGTAACGGAGGAACGTATCATTTCGGAAACAATAAATAATATTGGATGGTCGTTATACTTTTGTGTTCCTTGTGATCCACGCGATGAATAGAAGTATATAAGACCATCAGAGAGAGGTAATCTATCGATATAGCCAATGTAATACGTAAGACATGATCCGATAAGGATGTTTGTATTAATTCGGGGATAATAAATAATATTGAATCGTCGTTATATATTAAAAAATTGTTTTCCTTGTGACACCGCGATGCGTAGAATAAATAAGACCATCAGAAGGAGATAATCAATTAATGGAGTGAATGTAGAATATTTTGAATGATCATATATAAGCCCCAATGTTTACGGAGGAGCGTGTTATACCTGGGACGATAAACGGTACGAAATAATTGTTTTACATTTAAAAATATGGAGATTGTTAGAATATTGTAAGACAATCACAACGTGATAATACGTTGATAGAATTAATCAGGATACTCTAAAATATCATAAATAAGGTCCGATGAGTACCGGAGAAGCGTATTTCGGGGACGATATATAACAGTAGAACATCCATTTATAATAAAACAATTGTGTTCACTGTGAAACCCGCGGGGAGTAGAATAATGGAAGACCATCAGAAGAAGGTGATCTATTGATAGAATGAATGTAGAATATTTTGAATTATCATATGTAGTCCCCGATCCGTACCGGAAGAGAATACAATTGTGGACGATTGATAATAATAAATAGTGGTTCTATACTATAGAATTTGTCCATTGTGGTTCCCGCTATTTATGGTATAGCATACTAAAACAGTCAGATCGAGCTAATACTTTGATAGAGTGAACGGATAATATTTTGAATGATCAAAATGTAAGCCCCGAACCGTACCAAAGGAGCGTATTACTTCGGGGACGATAAAAAACAGTGGAAAGACTTTATATATTAAAAAAGAGTGTTTATTGTAAACCCGGCGATGTGTAGAATAATACAAGGCAATCAAATCGAGATAATACTTCGATCGAATGAATTCAGAATACTTTGCTTGAGCATATGTAAGCCACGGTTCGTACCTCAGGAGTCTAAAATTTCATTGACGATAAATAATACTAAATAGATGTTTTATACTAAAAAAAAATTATTTATTTGATATCTGCGACTCATAGTATAATATAAGATAATCAGATCGAGATAATATATACATAGAATTAAAGTAAACATTTTGAATGTTCATATGCAAACACTCTCCGGATTAGCGTATAATATCGGGGACGATAAGTAATTCTAAGTCAATGTTTTGTATTAAAAAATTTGATCATTTTGACACCCGCGATAAGTAGAATAATATAAGAACATCATATCAAGGTAATATGAGAAAGAAAATGTGTGTAGCATATTTTGAACCGTCATATGTTAGCCACGATCGGAACCGTAAGAGCGTATTAATTCCGGGACGATATATAAAATAGGGTTGTCGTTATATGTCAAAAAATATTGTACTATGAGATTCCTACGATGCACAAAATGACATAAGACAATGAAATCAAGATAATAAATTGAGAATGTGAAATATTTTGAATGATCACATGTAAACCCCGATCCATCCCGGAGGATGTTCAGGACGAAAATGATCATTTCGGGAAAATCAGATATTACTAAATCGTACTTTATATAAAAAAAATTATTCATTTCGGTACCCACGAGGCGGAGAACAATATAAGACCACCAGATCGAGATAATGTATAGATAAAATGAATGTAGAATGTTTTGAATGATCACATGTAAGCCCCGAAACGCACAGAAGGAGCGTCTTACATAGGGGACGATAAATAATACTAAATCGTAGTTTTATAATAAAAATTTTTGTTCTTTGTGATCTCTGAATTATCATGTGTAAGCCCCGATCCTTACCGCAGGATCATATTAGTTGGGTGACGATAAAGAATATTGGATCGTCGTTATATATTAAGAAATTGTGTTCATTGTTATCCCCGCGATGCGTAGAACATTATAAGGCAATCAGAATGTGATAATTTATTGACAGAGGGTATATAGAAAATTTTGACTGATATTATGTAAGCCACGATCCCTACAGAAAGAGCGCATCACTTCAAGTAAGATAAATAAAATTGGATCGTTGCTATATATTAAA